ATAGGTTTCAGTTGTAATAAGTTTTCAAAAAAACAATATTTGGGACAATATTATGGAAAGTTTCTTTTGTCGTCCTATTTGACAATGGACCAGTTTTTACCTGGAAGATTAACATCTTCTGTCAAGATCAAGAACATCTCCAAAAAGAAAATTTCAATTCTCTTGTTTCTTATTCCTATAGAATATTAGGATCTACTCAATTTATATTCATTATTAATCAATTATTAAGTTTTTTTAAAAAAAAAACATTAAAACTATTATGAAGAGATTTCACACAACGAAAAAATGGGCGAGGTTTAATGTAATTTAATTATAATAATTTTTTTAAGGATTTGTTGTTATTTATATTTATTTTATATACTATTCGTCTCAGTTTGTTTGCATATTTTAACAAAACACGCATACTAAATTTTTAAATGGACCCTTGACTAAATTTTTTGGGTACGTCAGTGAGTATACTCCTATAATAAAAAACAATTATATTAGTTAACTCAACCATTAATCAAAACTTATTTTAGATCTGTTCAATAAAATTAATTGTTTTAATGGCTATTAGTTAGCGTTTAACTGTTTTGGTAAATTTTCATAAAGCACTAAAAGTTAGATATTATTAGGGAATTAATATTTTATAAAAGGCTATTTTAACTTTCTAAAAGTTATTTTAAACAATATATTACTAAATATTATAAAAAATAATATTTAACATTTAATAAAAACGTTAAAAACAACTTAAAAAGTTATCACGGAACGCTACCTCTATCATTAAAGCTTTTGACAAATTAACAACAATTTAGTTGACAACCATTACTTTTTCTACCAATAGAATTATTTTATGAAATGAGGTCCCATTTGTATATATAAACTACCAGCCAGCAATTAGAGCAAACACAGAAATACTCTTTTGACCTACATGCGTGGAATAAACCAAGCCAACCTCAACCTATGATGTTGAAAATTGAAAGCTAACAACTCAAGATTTCAATTTGCCAGAGCATTATTATTATTATTATTATTATTATTATTATTAATCTTTAATTTTCTTAGGCTTACATATGCAAATTGCCAACTAAACCCTCTGATTGGTCAATCATCTCTCATATTTTATGTGCAGTTGCTCTCACAGGTTCTGACTAATTAGTACGTTGTCTCATCTGCCTAATAAGATACAATGCAGTAGGACTTAATATACATTTGTGACATTAACTCTAGAGATCGTTGCATTTACACTATAATTTGAACTTTCTAACAACCATGCCCTAAAATAAAAATTTGAGAATATTTACACCCCACAATTAAATTAAGGGTTGATTTGCAATAAAAATATATATTTTTATGGGACCATAACAGAGTTTGCGTTAATTTAACTAAAACTTAAATTCAAACTCGAACCCACACCGTTGAAGAGGAAAAAAATTTTAATTTAAAATAATTTTCATCTATCACTCGAGTACATCATTAATTATTGCAAAATATTGCTTTTCAGAAAGCAGTTAATTCGTAGAAAGCACTTCCGGGTTAACATTTCTATTATATTATTGCAGGAAATATTGCTTTTCGGAGTTATTAGGCGAAGTTATTCGTAGAGAAGCATCTGCGAGTTCGATAATTGGCTTCAAAGGTGTTGGTTATGGTGTGTGTAATTCTTTTATTTTAGTTCTATCATAGTGGTTTATTATTATATCGGGTGATATGTATACAAAGTGTATTAGTGGGTTATTTAATTGTGTGATTATATTGTTTTATTTAGTGAGCTGAAACACTATTTAGCCTTGTCATTTTAGGAATATGGATTGTTCACAAGTGTCTAATTGAGGGTGTTATTATGTGGCGAACGAACTTCCAGTTCAGGGTGGTTAAGTTGTATAGTTAGACCCTTTAGTAGTTAAATATATAGTCTGCTGCAAGATTGTGATGTCTTTTGATTGGTTGTTTTTTTCTTTATTCCAAAGGTGTTCTTTATGAATTTATTAAATTGGGGCACCAATTCACATGAGAGGTTAGTTAGGTCTGAGGTTTTGGTTTGCGGTTTAGTAATGGATGTCATTTCTTCTCTCTTTCTTGTTTGGTGTTTTTTCTTTTTTTTAATATTAATTGTTATATGGTATCCGACCGTTCTATTTATAGTGATATATGCTTCAGGTTTTTTATTGGATCAAACGTAAACAATTCACACTGAGGGTGATTGAGAAGATTGGTTAGAAAGATAGTCGAATCCCCAATTAGACAAGATTATGTGTTAGGAAAATAAAGTTTTGTGTGTTTATAAATTTAAATGTTAAAGTCTTTAAACGTCTTTCTGATTTAGACATGATATGAGACAGAAATTAAACGGAAACTTACAATAGGTTTATTGCGGATGTGAATAGCTTCTATTCTTTATTTTGATTTCTAAAGTTGAGTATTATGGAAATTACTGATTCGGTATAATATGCTAGAGGATTTTCTCTAACTTTTATGAGGTTTATTTGGATTTTCTATTTATTATATGTAAGGAGGTAATGTTATGATGATTATTGAAAAATTTTTTTATTAATGAGTGAAATGAAGGAGTTTATGATATTTTGAATTGCTATTAGTCTTGGCTCTCTCCATTGTTATGCCGCATCAATACGAGACTTAGGTATGCTGATATTTTTGTGCATGCAAACAATACAAATCGTTGTTCAGTCTTGGTTCTCCATGATCATATCCTAAAATGGTACAGTATTTAATAAGAGAATAATAAAGAAATATAATGTAAGTTTTAATATATCGAGAATATTGAGCTATAAATCTTAAGTTATTTTATCTGATATGGGAATTTTTGTGTTTTAGGGTTGAGTATCTTATCGGGTTAATTTCTGTGGGATTGTGGAATTTACTAATGTAACGAGGCTTAAGAAGACTTTGGGCAACGAATGGGGATGAGGAGACCGATCAATCCTTCTCCTGCTTCTTCTTTCTCTTGTTATTTTTCTAGAGAATGAACATTGTTAATTACGGGAGAACGGTCTGCTTTTCTTGACATGTCACGCGATGTGCGTCACCAGCGGGTTATCTGTTATTTTTGTTTAATTTGTAATAATACAGACATTATTTGTGTGTGTTGTGCTTCTTTATCGTCTAATCCATAAATAAACAAATTCCCTTTTTGCAAAGAAAGCTGTGCTTGTCTCCATGCTGCCATTTCTCTTATCTTGTAATTTGTGGATATTTATTTGAAGGACTGGATTTTTCATAACCTTTTTTCTTTTTAACCCACAGGGTAATTTTTTTGTTATCCTCTCCTATAAACATAATTTTTAATTAGTCTCCGCTATTATACAAGCTCCAATTCTCGATATAACAAGGTATTGAAAAGAGATAATCTTATATTTTTATATCTGTTTGTGTTTTTTCTTTTTTGTTTTTCAGTGTATATGTTATATTGTGAACGTTTTTCCGTCCGTAAAATGAGACGATAAAAATATGGCCCATCTTGGATTAACTTAGTGCTAAATGAGAATGAACATTATATAGGAAATGGTATTGTGTATTAATTTATATATTTATTATACTTGAAAACACTATTAGCCTTTCATTTTGAGAATATGATTGTCACAAAGTTTAAATTAGGGTGTATGTGCAACGAACTTCCAAGTTCAGGGTGTAAGTGTATATTAACCCTTTAGTAGTTACAACTAAAACTCTCTCAAGATTTTGATGTTTTGATTTGTTTTTTTCTTACCAAATTTCTTATAATTTATTAACACAACCATTAACAAGTTAGTTAGTCTGAGGTTATGGTTTGCTTTAGTAATGATGTGCATTCTTCTTCTCTTTTCTTTTTTTTTTTTCTTTTTTTTTAAAATTAAAATTGATATTACCGACCGGTTCTTATATTATAGTATGCTCATTTTTTTAGTTGGATCAAACGTAAACAATTCACACTGAGATTAGAAGATTTGTAAAAGAATCGAACCCCAATTAACAGAATAGAAAATAAATTTTTTTATAAATTAAATTAAATCTTAAACGTCTTTTGATTAACAGAATAACAGAAATTAAAGGAAAACTACAATAGTTATTGCATGTGAATAGCTTCTATTCTTTATTTTGATTCAAATTGAGATATGAAATAACTATTCTATAAATAGCAAATTTCTAACTTTATATTTTATTTGGATTTCTAAATATGTAAAGGTAATTTTCAAATATATAAAAAATAAATTTTATTAAGAGTACAAAATAGATATTTTATTCTATGTCTTACTTCTCCATTAAGCCAATCAAACGAGACCTTAGGATTTGTGATATTTGTGCATGCAACAATAAACAGTTCCAAGTCTTTTCTCCATGAATCAAATCCTAAATTACAGTATAAAAGAGAAAATAAGAAATATAATAAATTTAATATAATCAAAATTGACCTATAATATCAATTTATTTTACTGATATGAATTTTGTTTTAGGGTGAGTACCTTATCTTAATATCTAATGGGAATACTATTTAACGAAGCAAAGACATTTGGGCAGCACATGGGAGAAACCGATCAATCCTCTCCTCCTCTTCTCTTGTTATTTTCAGAAATGAACATCAAACAGAAACAGGCTCTTTCTTGACATGTCACCATTCGTCACCACCGTTACTGTATTTGTTTAATTGTAAACAGACATTTTTGTGTGCTTCTTTTATCGTCTATCCATAAATAAACACTTCCTTTTGCAAAGAAGCTGTGCTTGTCTCCATCTGCCATTCTCTTATCTTGTAATTTGGAGATTATTTGAAGGACTGGATTTTTCTCCCTTTTCTTTTTTACCCACAGTATTTTTTTTTATCCTCTCCATTAAACAAATTTTAATAGTCTCCGGCTAATACAGCTGCAACTCAAATAACAATATTGAAAAAATAACAATTTACTACTGTTTTATTCTTTTATTTTTTTCAGTGATTGTAAGTAAGCGTTTCCCCGTAAAGAACGATAAAAATAATGCCCATCTTGGATTAACTTAGTGCTAAAGATGAATACAAATAGGAAAACTGAAAGAGAAGATACAAATTGAATTGGAAGATAAAAAGAATCATCTCATGTGACTTCCTTAATGCTTTACAAGTGTTCTGACATTTTTCAATTGGACAAATTTCTTTGTTAGGATAACCAATTAACTCAAATGAAATATAAATAGATTAAGACTTTATAATCCTACAAACAAGGTATGCAATGATATTAGCAAGAGTTTATTAAAATGGAATGATGACTGCAGACTCAATCTCAATTTGCTAAATTCGTCTTTTCCTCCATTAAGAAATCAGATAGCATATTTGGATTGATTAAGCTTCCAGGAGAAAAATCAGCCATATGCATCCACCATTTGAAAGGCTTTTGCTCTCTCATGTAACATCTACACGATGTAAGCTTGAAAATAGTATATGGAGGTGGGAAGCAATAGAAAATGACTCATATTTCTTCATCTGAGCCATAGATATCTAATTCAATCATCTTTCCTTTTCCATGTTTTGCTTTCTCTGCTGAAACTTGCCCCTGGTCAGTTTTCATTTTTTTTGCATTCATTTTCTTTTTTTTTAATATAGACGGATCCACTTTCATTGTAGACAATTTCCTAAGGAATGACCAACAAGCGTTCAGTGGGTTGGAAGGATAACTAAAGAAAACAAATATATAGAAAATGAAAGATTAAAAGAATCCAATAAATGATTTACCTTTTGTCTAAGCTAGTAATTGGCTGCTTTGCTGTTGCAGATGCTTTATTTGTATTCTTTGATCTCATTTTTCCTGTAAATGCAATGGAATAAGTATTCAGGAAAGACATTGCACCAGAACTAGAGTTGGTATCCACAACAAGGGTTAATAATATCAAACCTGTTATTTCATTGAGAAATCTTATGCCCTGTGAAAATGTGTTTGTAGTCACTTTATCTGCATTGCTGTTCATTTGAGTGCAAAATTCAAAGTCATTTCTCATTATCTGTGACCAGAAAACTTGCAGGTTTAGATACTTATCAGAATTAATGTTATGCTATGTATTAACAAACCTCAATGCCTTCTTAAGTCCTTCTACAGATAGTAATTTCAATGGCTGCACAGGTTTATTTATGTTTGTTTTGTCAGATAAAGGGTCAACCAAATAAATGCCTTGTGACTTAAGAGTATCTCTAAATGCAGTCTTCAAGTTCCTGAAAAACAAAGATTTGAAATTAAAAACATGTGTGGGTGTTTTTGTACGCATGTGAATCAGATAAGTTCTTTGTATGATGCAACTATTAAGCAGTAGAAACTACAAATTATCAAATGATGCCAAACTCGGATCACATACCCTCCTCTGAGCTCAGTTCGTGTGGTTGAATATACTTCTGATGCTTTCTGTAGCAGTAAAATCGATACAATTAATTCAATTTCATTTGAAGATAAAATGAAGGAAAGAACTATGGCAGCATTAGGAAGGTATACTCACAGATTTGTGATATCTGCAATATATACCTTGACGTCTGAAATAACATAATGACTAGAGTTAGAATATCAAACAATCACATTGCATATTACAGAAAAATTTTCATAATAGAATGCAGAATCCTACAATCGATTTCATTACGAAAACGAGTGTTCAGCCACTGATGGGAGGACAAATGAAAGTATCAAACTTGACTAAGTTTCCAGATACCATTTGGTAACTTCAAAACCAATCAAAGAAAGAAATTTGAAAATTTGACCATCTTCACTTCTAAATTTTTTCCAAGATCTTCATCTCTATAAATGTTCCTACTTTCCACTAATATCCTAATGAATCCTTGACATTTTAAAACAATAATATAGTGAGCATTCACATGTACTGATAAACTGCTGAATAATTCCTTCAACTATATTATACTGCATCTAACATAATTCAGGCAAGGGGTAAACCCTTAGATGACTAGATACTAGGATTGATAACTCTACATATAGTGTTGATGATGCAATGATGTGTGATGGAAAGGAGCAAGCCTATTAGAAGGGCCATGAGATTCACCCTTTCATGGATACAAGACTAATGGAATAGAATATATCCAGACTCACTTCACAACTACCTTCATTTAATGTCTTTCTAGGTTGGAAGTACTAAAATGAAAAGCTTTCTTACAACTCACCCAAATATAAAACATGACTGGAAGTTTTGTATGAATTTCTAACTGGCAAAGATATGATAATTATGACCTTCATAGTGAATAGGATCAACAGTATTTATTTGCAATCGTATCCAACTTTGAGTAGCTGATTAAAGTGGCAAACTCAATTATGTTTCGAGGCAATGCTAATAAGTTTCAACATTCTTTTTTAAATCCTTCCTCTCACAAACCAAGTTATAAATTTGAAGATTTAAATGCCAGCTTAATTTTTTCAAAAACTCTTTAGCTAATCTCTGCATTAAAGTAACATAATATACCCACAATCATGGGTACCCAAATGAAAATCACAGTTGATCAAACATGGGAAATAAACAATATGCCAAACTTAATGTTTAACGGCTATTAAAATCAAACCGAAATTTTTTTATGTGACTTAAAATGGCAACCCACATATCTCACAAGAATCTTTTTCCTTTACTTGTTCATTGGCTTGATCTGTTGCAACTTGCAACTTCAACATTTTGGTAAAATATTGACTACAAGCCAAGGCCAAAATTTATTTAAAATCAATGGAATAAAGCTTGTTTTTTGATAATGTATTAGTTGATAAATGAATACTAGGTAAAAGTAATTTTCATGACATTTGACATCTCACCCTACTGACCCTAGAAAGCAAGTTAGAATTTGGAAATGTCTGTAACGTACTTATTTATGATTACTGTACAGGACATCCCATCTTTCCTTTTCCCTTTGCAAACTCCATAATCAATTGAAGTACCCATCTTTATTATTTGGTTTGGAGAATAGACACTCAATGAAAAACCTCCCTGCAAAAGAGGGGAAAAAAAAATCAAAATCCATTGTGAAGCACAAAAAATTATAAAAGAAAAATGAAAATCCATTAGACAACGAGCAAATAACAATTCCATACCGCATTGTCCCTGCGCACAGTACAATTGAATAGTGCAAAAACTGTTCCAGCCTGCTCCTTGCAGTTCTGCTGATAAGCATCACCAAACAAGAACAGAGAGATTGTGTTTTCATCTAAACACCCAATTTTCCATATGCAATAGCTCTTTCCAACAGAGCTAGTCCTCGGATTTCCTTTCTCAGTTAACACTCCAATAGTTGCCCAGCATCCAGAAAGAGTGTCTCCTACCAATAAATTTCTAGAAAAAAAAAGAAACCCATCACATGAAATCAATATACACAATGCAAAGTACATGAAGTCATTATTATGAGTCATATAAGAGTAAGAAAAAAAAAATCTTTTCATTCCTAGAAGAAGGAGACTTCATGAGTTCCAAAATTATAACCATTTAAAGATCATGCATCACGATAAGCAAGAAGAAGATTACTTAATAGCTGGTAACCGGACAAAACGGATATCTGACAAACGCTCACTGAGCTCTGCAGGAGTGACCAATTGATTCCTGAAACAGAAACATTAAACAGATTTAGAAAAAATCCAAGGCAATATTTTCTAATTTAACTTCTTTTTCTTTTTAACTTTCACTTGGTAGCTGAGAAAATTTTCAAATAAAAAAAATGTCTTCAATCTTACAAGTTACAAGAGGATGGTGAACCTATAAACATGACCAAACATACTATTTCAGTACCATAAGTAGATTGTAGAAGTTAATTAAAACAGATTGCTTATAATAGGCATTATTCAAGTAAGAATGTAGTCTTATAACTCCACATATAAATGGCATGAATTACAGTTAGTCTGAAGGTAACCTTATCCTTAAACCCGAATACTTTTCCACTTGAACATCATTTGAGTTCCTTGCTTGCTTCAGTTTTTCAGATTTATGAACTGGTTTTGCGTCATGATCAAGGCAATCTTGAACAGCATCTCTAAAGACAGATAAATCTACCTGCCCATGTCGTCTAGGCGATTCATCTGATAAATACCCTTCAAGATGAAAGCAAATAGAGAAAACCCATAATTACTTGTCCAAAAAAAAATCATGACTGAGAAATCTGGAATTGACTGAATGAGAAACAACTTCTAAAGCCAAAAGCCATTAGAAATTTGGACAAATTTCAGCTGAAAAAATAAACAAACAATAGCGATATACAAAACACACATAACTACACGAAACTAAAAGATACCCAAATTACGAATCAACAAATAGAAGCGAAAATCAATGAAAATAATTAGGAAACTTGAAAAACTTCAAGAAAAGTAAACCCCAATAAATACAACCAACAACTACATTTATTTACCCGAATGGGAATGGTGATTTGATGGAGAGCCAGGAGGGGTTTCTAACACTCGATCTTGGAGAGAGAGGAGGAGGTCGAGATCCTCTTGATGGCTTGACATTGTAGATTTGTTGTGTTGCATGGAGTTAGAAAAATGAAATTTGTACAGAACCAGAAAAGTGTTAGTGATTTTGTTGTGGAGGGAATGTTTTAGTCTTTTGGAGGGAACTGAAAAGCAGAGATTGCAGTAGAGAACCGTTTTTGAAACGTTTCATTCAATGATGTTGATTACACAGAAAAGTTTCAGCCCACACAAAATGGGGCTTGAGTAAAGGTCCAGTTTGGTTTAGGCCCATATCAAGGAGGATCCATCCTTTTCTTTTTTCTTTTTCTCAAAACAGAATATAAATGATTTCCATTTTCCTCACAAAATCTACTATAATTGTAGGTATTATTACAGATAAAATGACATGATTTGCCTTTAAAAGTTATAGTGTTTAGAATAAATAAATTTCACAAAATTTTATGGAATTAGTTTATCAATATAAAAAAAAATGAAGAATTAAATTTTATAAAATTGAATATAATTAAATGATAAAAATTAAATTATATATATATATGTGCTCATTTTGAAATTCTCAAATAATAAATTAAAATATTTATTAGTATAATAAATTATTATAATTAATTCAACTAAATGAGATAAATTAAAATATTTTATTAGCATAATACTATCTCTATTTTATAATACTTGTCACATTTAAAATTTCACGTTTTTTAAAAAAATCATTAAATGTGTTTAAGTTATAAGAAATTACAGAAAAAATTGACTGTATTACTCTTAATTTAATATTAATTCTCCATGAAAACATTAAACTGAAGTAATAATTATTGATTATATACAAAGGATAAACATGGAAAAAAATATTTATTACTCATTGAAACCATAAATGTGACAAGTGTTTTGGAACAAACTATTTTCTCAAATGTAACAAGTATTATGGAACAGATAATAAATATTTTCTTTGTTTTAAAATTCCATATATTCAATTGAAATACTCTTTCCATTTTCAGATACTTGTCACATTTGCGAAAATACTATATTCTCAAAAGACTTATTACATTTGAGATTTCATAAATAATAATTTTTTATTATTTTTACCTTTTGTATACAATCAATATTGATTGTTTTACTTCTTCAATAATTTATTATAATTTAGACAAATTTAGAGTAATATAGTCGATTTACTCAATAATTTATTGTAATTAAATAATTTTCTTAAAGAATGTGAAAACTCAAATGTGACAAGTATTTGAAATCATAGTTAAGTTTTTATAATTAAATGAGATATAGGAAGATTTAATTGTAATGATATAAATTTTAATTAATTGAAATTTTATTTTAATTCTATTAATTGACCATATTGTTATAACTCCATTGTTTGGTTAATATTTACTCACTGTAACTCTATAACTCAATAAATTAGTTACTCGCAACGTTTTATTAAATTTGACGGTTTTTAATTTTTATAAGGATAAAGAAAATAATTGAATCACCCCAATTTTAGAAATAGACTATATTAATCTTTGATTAATATACATCTAGTTCAGACAAAATTTAGTGTAAGATAAGGTAAAGTTAAAATAAAATAAATAATCTTATTTTCTTTTTTTTTTTAAATGTCATCTAAATGAAATAAGAAAAAAAGTCAATTATCGAATTTAACAGAAGAAAGGAGCAATGTTTATTAATTATAACTCTATCAAATTCCATTCGTACGTAACTCCAGTATTTAATAAAAAATTTAATATTTATTAAATGAAAAAATTATAATGAAAATCTATTATTACTCTGTTAAATTTTACAAGTCGATGATTTAACAAAAAAATTTAATACGTATTAAATGCAAAAAAAAAAAATATTAATCATAATGAAGCAAAGATAGCATGCCACATCAGTATTTCATGTTTTATTTAATTGTTTTTTAGGAAAACCATTTCATATATTGCAATAGTTAAATCAATATCCATGATTTATAAACATCTATGATTTATAAATTATATAGCATTTATATAAATAGATATAGATGGTATTTAAAATGATATATAATGTGTTTTCTAGAACGAAAAATTGATCGCGTCAATTATACAGATGTATTTGAAGTTCTTTATGCTAAAGATTAACAGTAAACATATTAAGGAAAATATTTGTTTAGATCGGATTTATGATTCATCTGTCGTCCATGGATCAAAACAATAAAAATAGGAAATTTTATTAAAATAAGGGTACTTTTGACAAAAAAAAATATATATATATATGAACATTGAGTCACTCTAGATAAACTTGCATTGTGGCGTTGACTCTAGTTATTCAGTTTCAGAGATGACTGCCAACTGCTGGTGAAGAAGACTCCCTGAAGGCATGGCTGCTTCCATTCTGTTAAGGCCTGTAGAGTTGAAAGGATTAGGAGGCATTGCTAAATCATCTCCTTCTCCTTCCAACATTTGAACCACACTTGTCATACAAGGACGGTCTACTGGAAACCACTGAATGCACCACAATCCAACAATTGTCAGTTTCTTTACTATTTTTGTGTCGCCTTCTTCCTCAATTCGGATTCTTATCTCCTCTCCTCTATCCAAATGATCATATATCCATTCTGGAAAGGAGACTTGGCTAGTGTTCTCAAAATTAACTTCCACTTTCTTCTTTCCTCCAACCATCTCTAGCAATAGCATTCCAAAACTATAAATATCAGATTTATACGACACGTTCCCAAAGTTCCTGGAGAACACTTCTGGCGCTATATAGCCCATTTTCCCTCTAGCTGTAGTCATGGATACAATACTTTGATCCCTGGAGCATAATTTTGCCAAACCAAAATCAGAGATTTTTGGGGTGAAGTTGTGATCAAGCAAAATGTTATGAGGTTTGATATTAAAATGTAGGATTCGTTGATCGCACCCTTGGTGAAGATACTCAATTCCTTTAGCAATGCCAAGAGCAATATCTTGTAATTTCTCCCAGCCAAGGGAATGATGATTATTATTATCACCGTCATTAGAATATATGAATTTCTCTAATGATTCATTTGGTAAGAATTCATAAACCAAGGCTCTTTGGTATCCTTCTGCACAAAAGCCAACCAAGCGAATCACGTTCACATGGTGTATTCTTCCCATTGTTCCAACTTCGTTAATGAATTCTTCTCCATTTCCAGTTGAACTGTTCAGGATCTTCACAGCCACAAAGATCTCATTAGAAAGCTTTCCTCTAAACACTGTTCCATAAGCTCCTTGGCCTAATTTATCCTTAAATTGAGTTGTAATCCTTTTCAAATCATTATACGAATATCTTGTGGGTGTTAGAGCTTTGTAGTTTGCCAAGAATGTCTCTATCCTCGCTTGATTTTCCTTTTCTTTCTTATTAGACCTGTGGAGATGACGAAGCCCAGCGAAAAATACTCCAATAACTAGCAAAACTAAACCTATTCCTGCACATGCATATAAAATATTACCAGTCAAGATCAAGAACATCCATCTTCTTTCTACATAATAAAGTCAACTGTTAGGACACCATACACACCTGGGATTATTAATTTTTTGGAGGCACCTGTAAAAGAAAATATTTCATTAGCACTAAACATTTATACAAATGGAAACTTCTAGCCTTAACTGTGCTTTACCATGCACCATCAAATATGTGGTGGGGTCCAAGCAAGTATAAAATAGAAGCTATATATTTATGTATAAATAGAGAGTACCTTTCATTCTCTGGCCATCTTGGGTCATCTTGAAGCATTTAGTTTCACCTTCATGACCATCATCCCTTGACTGATATCTGTATTTTCCGCCATGAGCTTCACATGATGCAGTGGCTGGTTCAGACCATTTCAATTGAATATTATTTGGGCCAGTTAATGTGTAGGGAGATTCATATTGGGCCATGTACTCGAATGGAATTAAGAAATTGTCATGCATCTTGGTACAAGATACGAGGGGAATGTCGCTAGTACGACGATTATTTATGCATAGACTTCATAGCCAGGAACACTTAAGCAACTTATATTTCCATCTATATTATTTCTCTGTATTGATGTTGAACAATTGAATAACGTATAATCATCCAAGGAATCTGATCTGAAACTGAAAGGAGAGGCAGAAAAATCGATGTTTAAAGCTTGTCGTAGAAAGCAATCATCTGGATGAGAAACATTAATAACTTGAGATTGATAGTCAACTGTTTTGACAAATAGCTTCACTGAATTTGGCAGCTCCAGTAATGTCTGATTCTTCTCTGTGCAAGACAGATCAAACCCAGCATAGCCACAGTGCTCGAGTTGCTTATCTCTGAGCCGGAAGGGGAATCTGATGACAGGACCAGCCCCACAACTTGATTCTGAACAGTTAGGATCTGGAAGGCTTTGTCCATGGTATACAAGGACGAGCACAAATAAGATAAAGTTAGCTATGCTCATTTCTAATAATTCATTTCTCTGGACAGTTTAGTCTTATTGGCTTATGGTAGCTCTCCTCAGAATCTATTACTTGTAGTTACCACAGTTGCTTATGAACAGGACAAGGCAAGCTTGAGAAAACAATGGACAATCACAATCATGGAGAACCCAAAAGTAGAAAGAATGAAAAGGAAGCAGTAGAGTTTTTAATTCTCAGCCTCTGCTCTGAACTGTTATTTTCTTCATCTTGTTCTGGAACTGTTTTACACAAAAGTATATATGATCTATCTTTCGTAACTAACTGTAGGTTTTGGCTAAGTGTACTTGGCTGTGATGGTTATTTGTTAATGGTGCTGTGATGTTTTGTTTTTGAGTTTTAGGGTTTTCTTTGTGTTTGGCTCATGTTCGTTCACGCCCCCCTCAAGTTGGAGCTGGGGCAAGGAAACCAAGCCCAACTTGACAGTCATGTGACGAAAATGAGAAATGGGTAACAATTTGGTGAAAATATCAGCAAGCTGAGACGTGGAAGGTAGATGTTTTGTTGCAATGAGACCAGATTGAATGTGATGGCGGATGAGATGGCAGTTGATATCGATGTGCTTGGTGCGCTCGTGATAAACTGGGTTGGCAGCGATATGTAGCGCAGCTTGGTTGTCACAGAATAAAGGTATGGGCTTTTGTACTTTGACTTGTAGATCTGTGAGGATTTTGTCAATCCAAATAATTTCACACACTGTGTTAGCCATAGATCTGTATTCTGCTTCGGCGGAGGAACGACTAACAACATTTTGTTTTTTTGTTTTCCATGAGATGAGCGAGGTACCCAGAAAAACAAAGTGTGGTAGATTTTCTGGTATCAGTACATGACGCCCAGTCTGCATCAGAAAAGGCCCTTAACTTCATGTCATTTTGGGATGGCAGGAATAGACCTCTATAACTAGTGCCCTTCAAATACTTGATTACTTGTAAGGCAGCCTTAAGGTGTTGTGGAGCAGGTGTTTGCATGAACTGACTTAGCTGCTGGACAGCGAAGCTAATATCAGGTCTAGTTAGTGATAAATAGAGAAGTCTACCAACAAGTCTTCAGAAAACATCTGGAGTTTGAAGAGGGGATCCCATGTCGGAACTGAGCTTCAGTCCTTGAATGAAAGGACTAGGGCTTGGTTTTGCATTCTGCAATCCAGAATCTGTGATAATATCTGTGATGAACTTGTGTTGAGGAATGCCTTCATGTGATCTGGCAATTTCAATGCCAAGAAAATATTTCGCGTATCCCAAGTCTTTTATAGTAAATTTATGGTGAAGATAGTCTTTGAGGTCCTGAATGAGCTTTTCGGATGGCCCTGTTATAATGCAATCATCAACATAGACCAGAATAGCAAGAAAAAATTCTCCTTTGCCCTTTGTGAACAGGCAGTTATCAAACATGGACTGTTGGAAACCTTGAGAAAGTAAGCTGAACCTTGAGAAAGTAAGCTGACAGAAAGTTCCTTATTCCATTGTCTCCCTGCTTGCTTCAATCCATAGAGAGACCTCTGTAATTTGCATACTTGACCTTTGTGAGCTTTGTCATAACCTGGAGGTACTTGCATATAAATAGTTTCATCAATGGATCCATGCAAGTAGGCATTGTTGATATCCAGTTGGTGAACAGGCCAGGTTTTAGTTGCTGCCACAGTTAAGAATACTCTTACAGTTACTAACTTGGCCACAGGAGAGAAGGTCTGGTTGTAATCGAGACCCAGCAGTTGGTTGTAACCCTTCGCCACAAGTCGGGCCTTGTATCTGTCAATGCTTCCATCTGATTTATACTTTATCCTGTATATCCACTTACATCCCACAGGTTTTACATGAGGTGGTAAATCAGTTAGTGTCCATGTATTCACATGTATATTGTTTTTCAAGAGCAGTTAACTCTTAATGCATGGCATCTACCAATTTTTATCATTTTTTAGCTTTGAATTATAGCTTACTAGTTTCCTTGATTTTGAAACATGTGCAACAAAAGTTTGATGTGAAGGGTTGAAAGGTGTGAAATAAATGGAAGCTGGTGTTTGATGGGAGGAGAGGTGAGAAACCACAAAGTCTTGTAGCCAGGTTGGTGTATGTTTGGTCCTTATGCTTCTTCTTAAAACAGGAGCTTGAGTTTGATTTGTTGATAATGAGTCGGGAATGTTGGGGTGCGTATTGGCTGGGTGGATTTGTTGATTTGGCTGTGATGGTTCTTGTGGGGACAGAATAGATGTTCTAGAATCTGAAGATGGAGGATCTGGAACATGTTCTGTGATTTGTGAAGTGTGTTGGAGTGGGTTGTGTGGAGAAACATCAAGTGTTGTTGTAGGAAATGAAATTGGAGATAGATATGCATCAGAAATACAAGCTGGCAGTGTGAAATTCGTTATGGTTTCAGGTTTCAGGTGTTTTTGTGATGAAAAGGGAATGGAGTTTCAATAAAAAATCCACATTCTTCTGGAATGGAATAAGTTTTGGGTACTGAGATACTGAGATTGTACAATTTATACCCTTTATGTTGTTGAGAATAACCAAGGAAGACACAAGGATGTGCTCGGGGCTCAAACTTCAGTTTGTGTGGCAGGGTATTGGTTGAGTAACATAAACAGCCAATTACTCTAAAGTGAGAATAATCGGGTGGTTTATGATATAATTTTTCATAGGGTGTTTTCGATTCAAGGTTTTCAGAAGGGACTCTATTGGATATGTAGGTGGCAGATAACAAGGTTTCAGACCAGAATTGGGTTGGGAATTTGGCTTGGTGAAATATAGCTCTAGCAATATTCATTAAGGTTCTGTGTTTCCTTTCCACTCCAACTACTCCATTCTTGCTGTTTAGGGGTATACCCCAAGTGTCTTTGGTGAATAATGCCTTTGTCAAGAAAAAACTTCTGACATTCAGAATTCGTGAATTCTGAGCTATTATCAGATCTGAAGATCTTGATATGTTGTTGAAATTGGGTAAGAATTAGTTGGGTAAAAGGATTTTTAAGGCATATGGTGACTTGAATCTTTTGGTTGTTAGCAGTAGGTCCAGCAATATCTGCTGTAATCACCACCAAGGTTCAACAATACACTGGCATTTGTAACAGATTTAACTCTATATGGTCCCCAATAAATCTATATGCACAATCTCAAAAAGCTTTAGGTGGAAAATTTGGCTAGTAAAAAGGGTAATCTGGTTTGTTTTAGCCAATAGGACAAAACAGGACATGCCATATCCACAAATCACAGTCATGTACATCACTTCACATTTATTTCAATCTCTTTTAGAGATATGGCCTAATCTTAGCGTGCCCAGATGTTTATTGTGGCTATTACATTGAGCTATCATGTTTTGGTTCTTATTTGGAATGAAAGAGTCTTTTGTCATGTAGTATAGTTCTTCATACACTTTTCCCACTGCCAGTAATTCCTCAGTCTGTAAATCCTGGAATAAGCAATAGTCAGGAAATGAGTGCACAGACAGATGACATGTTTTGGTGAGTATGTTGACTGAGATGAGGTTACAGCTGAAAGAGGGAACATACAATACATTGTACAGAGTAATTCTATTATTCAGTTTGATGTTTCCAATGTGAGTAACTTGTCTGGTAGAGTTGTCAGGTAGTCTAATGGTGGTTCAGTTCATGTACAATATCCGATTACTTTGCAGTTATTAAAATCAATGCTATGGTGTAATACAGATTGAAAGTAAGGGTGACCGCAAAATGAACATCCTGATGTCTGGCAGAATTTGTTCCATCTGAAATCAGTTCTGCTTTCAATGGTGTGCTCTGCTTCTCATAAGCGTATCATCCATATGAACTGCATTCACCGTTTTCTATCTCCAGTCATGTTGCTCCTCCTTCGTAATTCAGAGTTAACCAGTCGAGAATAATCCAATAGGATTTTGAAGCAGTTGTCTATGGTGTGACCATTATTTTGCACTCGAACAATACATTTTTTTTTCTCTCTTTCTCTCTCTATCTCTTTTGTTTGATATGGTACTCCTATAACAGATTTCCCAACTGTTTTAATTTCACGATCTTACTAGTTCTTCAGATGTCTAGGCCAAACAGTACTGTTGAATGTTTCACGGATTCCACATTCAATGTGTTTACTCATCTTGTTCTCAACACTCAAAAATCATGAGTAAGCTTTATATTGAAGGAAAAACGTTATCCATTAAAGGATCTCTGTATATTTCTTTACATTCGTCCATCACTCATCACCTATCCCATTAGAAACTGCATAGCTCTTCTATGTTGTCCATACTCTGAATTGCAATGTTGCCACAACAAGTAGCAGAGGTGCCCAAACACATAGTTAATCATCCCATTCCTTTTACACTTGTATAAAACAACTGTTACGGCACTCAGTTTCCCTTGCCTTGTAAAAACTTTCAATTCACTCTCTCTAATCTTATATATCATCGGGCCAGATACACTCTCCATATCACTATTAGCTCATCCCAAAGTATTTTTGCAGTGTTGCAAAAATACAAATGCCATCTATATTCTTTGGACACAGCGTTTAATTATCCACGACTTACCATGCTGTCTGCGCTTGTAACCATCCTCAACTACCTCCCGACAGCCTGGATCAGGTTACTATATGATCCATTAATGAACTCTTTAGGCTGTACATTTTGACCACTGTAGAGCTACCGATTTAATATATATCTGTCTCCCACACGAAAATATCTCTGGTCCTTTTAAGAGAGTCACCAACCGGAATCCGGGAGATTCTCTTGTAATTAGATTGTTTATTTAAGATCACAATCATATTCTTGCATAGTAACTACCGCCAGCAATAAAGCCTACTTCACATCATTCTTGTTATTCATCATATTGATGTGTTTCATCACAAGATATCTATATAAAAAAAATAGTCTCTTGAATTTAGAAATCCAAAGACAAGTTACAATTTACCTGTCTCTGATACCTAGAAAAGGACAAAAGCAAGCTTAGAAAAACAATGGTACAGATCACAATCATGGAGAACCCAAAAATATGAGATATAGAATT